GACCTTCTGAAAACACGGCTAAGTTCTGCCAAAACCAACCCATGGAAGTCTCTCGTCTGGCCTAAGTGCACTCACCAAAGTTCCATTTAGCTTTTCAGTTTATTTGTTTGGTCTAAATGCTTTGAAACATCGATGGACAAGAACGTGAGATTCACTCCTCTCCATGTAGCCTCTCACTCACCACCAGGACAAAAACTATGACACGCACATCCTGTTTTCAAAACCGATGTCTGGATGAGAGTCTCTGACACCACTTGCCACTCGTGCTACATCTGTTGCACGCCTGGCAATCGAATTCGTGTCGCCGCCCAGGGGTGCAGAGCGCAGCGGCGATGACCACTCTACCACCGCTCCACACGTTTCATTTTCTATTTCACGTCATGTAGGACACAGCGAGTGAGCGAAAACACATCCTTATTGCCATTATTATTATTATTGTGTATGCAAGCGCAGTGATTTACACCGCCACGGCTAATTGGATACGCAGCGATTAATTTGAATTGACCGCAAGCAGCGACAGCAGCAGCATGGCCGCGATTGCTTGCTGTTCGATCTCAAAAGTCAAATCCACGAGTCACGGAAGAAGTCTCCCGCTCAACCGACACGTGGGAAGCGGCTGCTGAGTCAGCGATGGAAATTCCACATTGCCACGGCGCACACGGTCAGCTCCTCCGCAGGACAACCACTGCCGATCTCTCTCCGACACAGTTGGTACGCGTTGTGCGGAGGGTGATGACGGGCTGAGTTCATCCCCCGGAGTGGGGATTGAATGTGAGAGAGTCGACCGCAGGAACACGGCTGGGTTATGATAGAGCCCCTTTATCAAAACCCACTGGTGCATGAGGGCCCTCCCCACGTCGTGTAGAGAGCACGAGAGGTTATTTGTCCATACTTCATCACGCTGGTCAGTGCGGGTTGGCGAAGGCGGGGGCATAGACGCACGGCACAACAATGGATTCGTACGCGCTTGCCCTCTGTGCTGCCCACGATGTAACCCCGCAGCCTATAACACCTGTTTTATACATCGTGGCAGTGAGCCAGCAGGAAATCCCCGCCCCCCCCTCTCCCACCACCAAGCTCTGTAGTCCTCTAGATATGAAGGTGTTATCGGTAAATTCATCAGTGTTTACACGTGAGAATAAACCGGAGCACCCGGAGAAAACGAGGGAGCAACACCATATCCTGCACAGATGGAACAAGGTGGAGGTCCACATGTTTGCTGGACTGCATTATCCTGGCGTGTGGTAATCCCCCAACCCTCGCTGCTGGTGCAGCCTCCACACTGCTGGATTACAGGCAGCCACGTGCAGCCAAGCCCACCAGCGCCACCACCGCCGCCGCCCGGTGTGATTCCCGTGCGACGGACACCTCTACATCACGGCACGCGAGATTGTTTAACGCCTCGAGTATGGGATACGAGGTAATTTGAGGCACCTCGGAATGAAAACCAAAAAAAATAAAATAAAGTATTTTTATTCACCAGATAAACCCCACTGAATTTCGATTTAAAGCTTTCGTGACTGCAAGGATTCATCTTCTTTGGTTCTTTCGGTAAAGTCACGTAGAATGAGAATAAAATAATAAATTGATAAAATAAAATAACACAATAATATTCTCACGACGTTTCGGCCACAACACAAGCGGCCTTCATCAGTCTCGTCCCTTCACCTAATGAAGGCCGCTTGTGTTGTGGCCGAAACGTCGTGAGAATATTATTGTGTCATTTTATTTTATCAATTTATTATTTTATTCTCATTCTACGTGGTGACTTTACCGAAAGAACCAAAGAATAAAAAACCCACTGAGCTACGTAGAGCTCTTTTTCAGACGCGACCTGGCCACAAATGACAGCTCAGCGAAGTGGCTTACGTCACGTGGGCATTTTAAAGCAGCCAAATAATATAAACGCGTGATGTTGATTCGAATCTAAAAGTGGAGGGAAAAACCGGAGGACCCGGAGAAAAATCCACGCCACCACACGGGGAGAGAGAGAGAGAGAAAATGGAAACTCCAAATATACAGCAGGCGTCGTCAGGGTCGGGATGGAACCCAAGAAATGCTGTACACCAGGCGAGGGAGATGTTATTATTAATCATTCTTATTTATTGGATTCCACTTTTGAGGAGGCCGCTTACTACGGCCCATGGCGATGTCTCGATGAAATTACGCGAATGAAATGTTCCACTGGAAACGTCTTTATCTCACGAGTGCTGTTCGTTTCCGTCTTTATCTCACGAGTGCTGTTCGTTTCCGTCTTTATCTCACGAGTGCTGTTCGTTTCCGTCTTTATCTCACGAGTGCTGTTCGTTTCCGGCTGCTTGGAGTTTTGGGACCGTTTGGGTCTGTTCCTTAGATATGGCGCTAAATAAATAAATACATATATATCAGTGCCATTGGATTATAAATAAATTGTAAAAAAAATCCACAAAACGTATTCCCGACATTTCACCGGTCACGTGAAATATAACCCCTAACCCTCATCCAACAGATATCTTCTCAAACTGACTCTCACATGATTATAAACACAGGCCATCTGTGGGCTGGAGCGGTGGTGCAGTGGTTAGCACACAACGTAATGAACGCGGAGAACTGAACCGGTCCTAGCCCCCCACCCCCACCCTTTCCATCTAACCCTCCACTAACCCGCACTGCGAGTGGAGTGGGGAAATATGGTCAAACAACCCCAAGTGAACCACACGGCGTGGAAAATCCTTCAGCCTGGAGTGAATTTACAAAGGGCTGTACATTATCATCTGTGGGTGAACAAGGGAACACACTACAGGCTTGGAGTGGCCGCTCACAGCTTCACCCATGACGTGATAACACGTGTGTCTGCGTGTACACGTGCGTGCGTATCCGTGTCCTGTGCCCTCCCCTAGGTCGACTCAGCCTTAAATGAGTACCTGGTGCGGTGTGTAGACACCGCCACAAGGGAGACAAAGGCGGCCGGGCGTGGTGCTGGCCACCCACCCCTCGTATGCCGTTCCGGCCTTCATAGGTGCTACTCGCTAACAGCACTTGACCAAATAGTCTGTTAAGGCTATACGGGGGATCTTTGTCTTTTGAACCGATATGCACGTGTGTGCCCATGTGGGTGTGAGCGTGTATCCGTGTGTCTGTACTCCTGTGTCGGGGAACGGTAGTGTCGTGGTGAGCGCCCTGCATTACGAACACGGCGGCCCGAGTTCAATTCCTGCTCACGACCATTAACGGTGGCGAATATTTCAACAGATCCAGGGCCTACCCTAGGTACCTGGCGCGATATTTATAATAATATCAACACTGGGCAGACAAAGGTGGCCGGGTGTGGTGCTGACCACCACTCCCTCGTGTTAAAGGCTACACCGGGATCTTTGTTTTGTCTTCGTATACGTGCGTGTGTGTACCCCTTTGTGTGTGCGCGTGTGCTCGTATATGCATGCGCGCATATCTGCGCCCGTGTGTGCTCCCGTGTGCGGATCTGCATGCATCTGTTCGTGACCCCGTGTGTGAGGAGTGGTGGCACAGCAGTTAGCGCACTGCTACGAACCCTGACTGCCCGAGTTCGATTCCTACTCACGTTAGCCCTGAGTGGGCATCGGCGAACATTTGGTCCTGAGCCTCCCCCAGGTCGACTCAGCCTTAAATTAGTACTCGGTGTGGTCTGGAAACATTCGCAATGGGGGAGATTTAAAAAAAACGACCTGAAGCAATTCTGGCCACCCACCCCGTCGTGTGCCGTGCCAGCCTTCATAGGTGCTCGCTAACGGCACTTACCCGAACAGTTTGTTGAGGCTATGGGGGGGGGGGTGGCATTTGTCTCTGTACCTATATATGCGTGGTGCGTCTCTGTTGACTTATTCCGATGTGTGTACGCGGCTGTGTGTGTGTGTGTGTGTTTTTTTCCGTGTGTGAATCTGGCGACGAATATCGATTGCGGGTGGATGCGCGTGTTTGTGTGCATCTGTGCGTGCAAGTGCGTGTCTGTGCACGGTGTGCGTGGAAGTGCGCATTCGTGCATGGATATTGCCTTCTACAATGTGTGAGACCAGGCGTGTGTTTGAGTGTTTGTGTGGGTGGGTGTTTGTAATCATGCATACATTTGTACGTCTTTGCGTGCTGTCCTTGGCTTTTGCTAAATATATAAACGCGCAGTTATATACACGGTATATAGGCACTTCGTAGGTGCTATATTCATAACACTTGCCCCAACAAACTGTCAAGGCTATCCGGGGGATCTTTCTACTTGTGTGATATACATGCGAATGTGTGTGGTGCCGTTTATAATGTATGCATTGTATGCACGCGCGTGTGTGTGTGTGTGTTTGCGCCGCATTGGTGAGCATTTAGTGCAGCGCTTTGCACACCGCGCGTTACGAAACCGGCCATCTGAGTTCGATTCCCGCTCACGACCAGCAACATGCGCTGAGAGAACATCTGAATCGGTCCCTGGCTTCCCCTACGCCGCCTCGGGCTGCAATGCTGGCTAACCCCACCTCCGACCTTAACACGCACTCTCACAGCAGGCTAGTGGGTGGATCTTTGTGACTGTGCAAGTGTGTGCACGCATACTATGTGCACTGCCTCCTGTGACTGAATACGGGTGTACGTCTGTGTGTGTGTGTTCAAGCCTCAAATGAGCACCTGGTGTAAACTAGGGAGACAAAGGCGGCCGGGCAAGTCCTGGCCACCCACCTCTTCGTGTGCCGTTCTTGCCTTCTCTCGAACAGCATTCCCCCTAAAAGTCTGCGAAGGCTATACGGGGGATCTTTGGCTTTGTGCGCGTGTAAGCGAGCACCTTAGGATATACGGGGATCTTTGTTTGTGTGTCTGTGGTGTGTGTGCGTATGTGTGCATGTGCGCGTGTGTGCGTACACGTGTGTGTGTGTGTGTGTTTTATGCGGCGTATGCTCGCTAACATCACTTGCCCCAACAGTCTGTTAAGGCTATCCGGGGTGGGGGGGGGGGTGGTCTTTGTCTTGTATGCGCGTGTGGGTGCGCGTGCGTGCGTGCGCGCTCACCTCTGCACGTGTCGGCGCCCCCCTTGCACACCGCCGCGTTCCTCGCCAGGGCCCCCGCGGGCCCCGCGTCCCCCCGCACGTGGCCACCCGCACCCCCGGCGGCCCCGTGCGTCGCGTAGGGCGGACACGTGGCGAGCGGCTTCGCCTCGCCCAAGATGTCCCGGATCAGGAACGAAGATGAGCACGACGACGACGACGAGGAGGAGGAGTTGAAGGCGTTGGTTGACGGCAGCGTCGACGACCTCGACGACGTCGTCGAGGTCGTCGACGACGTCGACGAGGAACCCATGGCGACGATGGTCGACGATGGTGATGACGTCACAATCCTGCCGTCTAAGGGCCCCGTGGGTGGCTGAGCGGGGGGCGGGGCCGCCGCCGCCACCTTGAGGAGGAGCCGCGTGCCGTGCGCGTCGCAGTTCGAGTCCCCGTTCGCCGCCGAGGGAGCGGCGGAGGCGGCGGCGGCGGAGAGCGTGGAGGAGGGCGAGAGGAGCAAGGACGCGGGGGACGACGGCAGCGAGGCGAGGCGAGCGCCCGAGTTGAAGGGAGCGGCGGCTCCGACCAGCGCCGCCTTCTGCGCGAGGCCGCACTGAGCCCCGCGGAGCGCCGCGGCGTTCTCCGCCATTGAGGCCTGCTCGCCGCAGCACAGCCTCGGGCTCGCCTGCTCGGACGCGGGGCTAGAGGCCGTGCTGCCCGGGCTGGGCGGGCAGGGCGGGTGCCCGGTGTCCTCGCGGGGAGACGGCTCCGATTTGCCGGTCAGAATTCGATCGATGCCGAAACTTGACCCCTCCATGGAGCCGCTTGTACCGCGCTCGATCCCGCTCAATTGGAGGCGTTTTCGCTCGGGAAATGTGTGTTTCCCGATGTTTGAGAATATCTGATCAGAGCCGGTAGAGAGAGAGAGAAAGAGGGTTGGGATAGGGGGGGGGCCCTTCCCCTTATTAGCTGACCGACAGAACGTCCGACTCGTGTTCGATGCAATTGTAACGTGTTCTGTGAGTTCGCGCGCATGAGTTACGCATTGAAATAAATCATTCGGGTTTGTGGGGGGTTCGCGCACGTGGGGAGACCACCCCCAAACCTCCTCGTCGTCCTGTGCGCCGGTTACCGTTCTGCAATCATTCCTAAAATTGTTTTTAGCAAAAACTTTTTTTTTTAATTTCGAATGTTTCTTTAAAAAAAAATGGACCGCCGTAAGTTGGACAATTTTTTTTTTTATGAATTTAAGTCAATTGCTGTAAATACAATCGTCGAAACTTAAAATGCCGCTTGTATAGGCTTCGATATATGACTATCGTGACTGCATCGTCTCGAACGCCGAACCGCCACGCGCGTGTTTTCGTTGACTTAAGAACCAAACATTTACATTTTATCATCAAACAACGGAGGCGAGACGCGACCCCACACACACGCACACGCACTTTGAACCAAAATTTTTTTTTTTTTAAATACGACTGTGCCCCCTCTTAAAATGGTTCGCGCGTGGCTCTGCGTCCACGCCAATTGTTCGTTCCCTCGTGATCCCGCGCCAATCATCATCACGACGACGACGTTAACCCCCGTGACCTAGACGGGTGCTGGGGGGAGTGTTGGGGGTCGTCGCATCTCTCTCCGCCAGTCATCACAACGTGGTACGGTGAGTGAGAGAGAGAGGGGGGGCGCGGCGCGCAATTTATACGGAGCACGGCGCAATATATTAAATCCGGCAATTTAGCCGCGCGCTTTGTACGGCAAATGGAGCCATTTTATTGTCTGCATCGCGGAATGATATTGCGGTGGACAATCCCCGGGCTTAGCGATTGCGGAGCGCTCGAATCCAAATCCTAATTTTTTTTTTTAAATCTTCTAAGTCGTCGTCGTGGCTGTGTGTGGTGGGGGGCGATGGACGTGGGTGCCGTTGACGCGTCATCTCCCCCGGGATGATGAACTCAGTCTTGGTGGAGGGGTTAGGCAATGACGCGGGATGTTTGTTTGCTTTAAGGAGACGGTGGCGGTGCGGGGAGGGGGAAGGGGGGCACCTTGTTTGTTTGTTTGTTTTTCACGAAAGAAGGGGATCGATTTCAAATCTGGAAAGAGGAAATGCAACAACAAAAAATGCGGGGGCAGGCATTTCCTTAATGCCGCATCCGCAGTGGTGCACAGGTACTATTAACAACAATAAACTCAACACGTTCGTCAATAACACCGCACCAGGTACTAATTTGAGGCCGAGTCGACCTCGGGGAGGCCCAGGCCCGGTTCGTTTTTATACGCCACTGTTACTGGCCGTGAGCGGGAATCGAACTCGTGCCGCCGGGGTTGTAGCGCAACGCGCCAACCACTGCGCCACCGCTCCCCGCTGTGCCAACTCAATGCATGCCTCTGTGTAAGCATGTATAGATTAATATATACGTATACGTACCACTCATACACACCTATATACACTCACTGTTAACATATATTAACATTCTAATATACCACAATGCATACATATACACTGCCCAAATACAAGCGTGAATACTGTACATACATTAATATACTTACACATATACTGCCAAAATACACACCTAAATACATACATTCACATACATATATAGCTACACATACATATAGAATATACATGAATGCATACATACTGTCCGCTGAAAACGCATATATGCAAACATACACATTAACTAGTATACGCTACACACGTACACACACATTAATGCATGTATGCCGCACCCGACACATATATACCGAGTATCAACACAGCAACTCATTCACGAACATGCACGTTCATAAATGCATTGCATGTATACATACCGTCCTACATATACTGATGCACACAAACCAATACGATGTATATACGTATATATGTACTGCACAGTGCGCACACACACGTACCCGTGAATATACGTGTGAGTGTTACGGCACAGTGAGGAATACAGCTGATGCATACGTGAGTCAACTCAGTCGGTCAACCCCATGGAACTACCTGGGTCGCTCCCATTTACCTCCTGCCAGCGAGCCTTCGACACTTCAAGTGGCATCAAGGTGCACCTAGCCTGGCACAAGAGCCGTGGTGGCGTCACCGCCACTTAGTGGCGAACGGCGGTTGTTTGTAAACGTGCAGCGCTTAAAAATACTTTTTGAATAGAGTATATGTATGTATATATGTGTGTGTGTATATATATATACACGTGTATATACGCAAAGGCGGTCAGGCGTGGTGCTGGCCACCCACCCCCTCTTGTACCGTCCCGGCCTTAATAGGTGCTCGCTAACAGCACTTGCCCCAAGTCGTTCAAGGCTATACGGGGGATCTTTGTATATACGTATACCATTCAGATATTGACGGACTGTATGGGGCAAGCGTCGTTAGCGAGCATCGACACGGCGCACGGATGTTGGTGGTTGTGCCCACTAAAATTCCCGGCCGCCTTTGTCTCCCCCAAATGCCGATGGGATGCTTTTTTTCTTTACACACACACCGCTCCAGGTGCTGTATCACTAATTTAACGCGTATCCGACACAAGGGAGGGCCCAGGAATCGAACCCAGAAGACAAAGGTCTCAGACGGCTAAGGGAAATCCTGCTTGCGAACAGCTGGTCACAAGCGCCCCGTACATAAACAAAGACAAGGCGGCCCCGTGCAGCCTTAACAGACTGTTGGGGCAAGTGCCGTTAGCTGTCACTTATGAAGGTCGGAACGGCACCCGAGGGGGTCCGGTGGCCAACGACGACCATGCCGCCTTTGCCTCTCCCGTGCTGATGTTTACACACCGCACCAGGTACTAATTTGAGGCCGAGTCTACCTAGGGGAGGCCCAGGACCGGTTCAGATGATCGTTACTGGTGTTGTCCGTGAGCGGGAATCGAACTCGTGTCGCCGGGTTCGTAGCGGCAGCTCGCTAACCGGTACGCTGCCGCTCCCTACGCTACATAATTAACCCCAAACGTGTCATCATTGTACATGCTGCTGGGAAAAGTCCTGTCAGCGAACACCTATTAAGGTCGGTACGGCACGCGAACGAATAATGTGGATAATGCCACGCCCGGCCGCCTTTGTTTACATATTTTAAATTTCGCGCATCGCTCCAAGTGCTATAATGTCAGGCTGAGTCGACCCAGGGATGGTCCAAAACCGGTTTGGATAATCGCTACTGTTGTTAGCCGTGATCGATAATATAGTCAAACTCTGGTCCCCAGGTCGGTAGCACAGTGCGCGAACCACTTTGCCAACACTGCTCACACACACAAAGACAAATTAATCCTCTCGTCCACGGTGTCGGAATTAATAGGTGCTCGCTAACAACATTTTCACTTACACAACACACACGCACATCCAAAGACAGCGATCCACTGTGGAGCGTGCACAGACAGCTGGGGCAAGTTCTATTAGCGACACAAAACAAACTGAGATCCCCCGTATAGCCTTAACAGACTGTTGGGGCAAGTGCTGTTAGCGAGCACCTATGAAGGCCGGAACGGCGCACGAGGGGGTGGGTGGCCAGCACCACGCTCAGCAGCCTTTGTCTCTTAGGTGGTGATATTTTTACGCACCGCACCAGGTGTTTATTTTAGGCTGAGTCCACCTAGGGGTGGCCCATGATCAATTCAGATAATCGTCACTGCTGTTGGTGGCCGTGAGCGGGAATCGAACTCGGGTCACCAGGTTCGTAACGCAGCGCGCGAACCGCTACATCACCACTACCACTCCCCACCTATTAAACACGCATACACAGCAACCTATTAAACACATACACAGGAACACACGTCGACTGAAAGAAGCGTTATATCTCCTTGCCGGGTGTATGACAGCCACACCTTGAAGTGATTGCAGCATTCAATGTCACCAAACAACAAGAGTGCCAACAATCTAAACTATCCAATAATATATACATGAAAAGTGCCTGCTTCTCAATGCTACGAAGACGGACCACTGCCTGGAACATCGCAGGTGAAATATGTTTAAAGCAGTGTTGTCAAGGAGTGTGTTGACTTTTGCGTTTGATTGTCAAACGCAGCGATGGGACAATACTCATCTCTCATGCACGGTGAGCCTGAGCCAGCGGTACAAATTCCACATTCCTATGACGGAGCCGACCCCATCCATAGCACGACCACTGCGGTCTTTTCACAAAGCGGTGTAGCCTCCTCTATCCTTTTTTTTTTACAATCGACCAAGCAGAAATCTCGCCCGAACCTGGCGTTGAACTCGCATCTTTGGGCTTGTGAAGTCGAACGACAAGTGGGCTAACCTCGCCCACCTACCTTCCGAGCTCACCACCCAAAGCCATCTCTGGGCACCACTACATCCGTCAGCCTTTTGCTTTACAGCATCAGGTTTAATAAATAAATCAAGTCCAGATCATTTATAAGAAAATCAAACGGACGCCTTTACGTGTGCCCCACACTCGCCTTAGAGGGCTACGAGATGGCCCCAGTGCTGCAGTCGGCAGCGCAGCAAGTAGGTTGCGTATCTCTCTTGCGCGAAACTTTTATCGCTAGCCCCTCGGTATTGTCCGGGTACACGGAGAGGGCGACCAACGCGGAGATGGAGCGATGAGATCGGTCCAACGGCAGGACTGAGACTGCATGGGGAGGTCTCCATCCAGCAGTGGATAAACAATGGCTGATGATGAGGATGTTGCTTACTCCAGTTTCCTACCTCGCCATTCAAAACACTTCATATTATAAATGCACATGGCTAAAGGTCCCAACTCAGAACTCTCCTGATAAGGGGTCACGAGGCTCTGCGAGTCTTTCCGGGATGAATAAATTACTCAATCATGTTGTTGTTCGTTTGGTGGTTGTTGTTGCGGTTGTCAATGATTGTATCTCAGCCCCGCGTCATTCACACCGAAAAATAAAGGGCAGAGGTTCTGTTAAAGACTGGACATTTAAGTGATTTATTAATTTTGACTTAAAGCTTTCGTGACTGCAGAGATTCATATGCTTGGTTCTTTCGGTAAAGTCACGTAGAAGGGAAACAATAAAATAATAAAAATATAAAACATTTTAAATATAAAAAAATATTTTATTGTTTCCCTACTACGTGACTTTACCGAAAGAACCAAGAATATGATTTATTAATGTAATAACGACAGCTGTTTGGAATAATATTGGGGTTTGTTTTCTTTCAATAAAAACAAGATTATTCCAACGGATAAATATGAAGGAAAAAAAAACATCCTTCAAAGAAATCTGGAGCAAAATCAGAAAGCCAACCCCCCCCCCCCCGCAGAGAAATCTTTACAAAGCATCCACTTGAGCTGTCTGCGTTCCGCGTCTCCACAGTTGGACAATCACTCCCGGCGATGAAGCGACGTGAGCCGTGAGCTCCGAGTGATTTAAGGAGCGAGTCAAAAGTCCTTTTGGGCTGCGAATGATTTGAGGGCGGGGATTAAAGCGTTGGGACATCGATCATGATTACGACGATGATCAAGTAAGTACAATTGCACGTCTAAGAAGAAAACAACTGTGTCAGGAGACTGGGGAACTCTTTAATCAGAGCTCGCGCGCTACGACTTCCTGGCGGGTCAGCTTGGGGGTCACGATTCCCCATTCTGGACCAGTGCGACTCGCAACGCCGGCCCAACTCACTCCCGGTGCTTCAGCAGTATCACCTCGACTCGCAGTGCCACCTCGACTCACTCGCAGTGCCACCCCGACTCACTCGCAGTGCCACCCCGACTCACTCGCAGTGCCACCTCGACTCACTCGCATTGCCATCTCGACTCACTCGCAGTGCCACCTCGACTCACTCGCAGTGCCATCACCGACACTCACCACGTGCGTGCGATGTGACAAACATTTGCAGCTCAACCGTCAAGCAAATAAAGACGAAACAGATATCATTTAACAGACTGTTGGGGCAAGTACTGTTAGCGAGCACCACCTATGAAGGCCGGCACGGCACACGAGGAGGGGGTGGGTGGTCAACACGGCCAGTGCTGATGTTTTTTTTACCCACCTCACTCACCAGGTACTAATTTAAGGCAGAGTAGACCTATAGGAGGCTCGGTTCAAATATTCGCCGATGTTATTAACCGGTTGTGAGTGGGAATCGAACTCGGATTGCCAGGCTTCGTCACGCAGTGCCCTAACCACTCCGCCACCGCTCCCCCGAACCTTAAACCAGACTGCACCCTAACTCACGTACAAACGCACACTAATAAGTGTACAAACACCTCAAATGATAAAATTCGATCGATTGAATAGGAATACATACATGTATATAAACACAAAACAATTATCAGACGTTCATTTACAATAATATGTTAAGATCGTTTCGAACATCTGTGTATACATAGTGTCGTGTGTGCGGGTGGAGCTGGCTCGCTTGCTCTCGATGCACGAGCGACATCGCCAGCGGTAACTATAATTATTGTTTCCTAAAAAACGCGTGCCAAGCGAAACCTGTGTAATGGGACGTCATTATCACGCCGGCGCAGCGAATTTGTGCAGTTATACGGCGGCCTTTTCAGTCGGCACTCGCATTGCGCTTTGCTTCGTACGAACCAGCGGCCCAGGTTCACGGTTGAAACAGCACCGAATGTTCGTGACATCGTCGGTGTCTTCGGTAACAAACAAAAAAGGCAGACATGGGAGCTATTATCTCGTTATTGCAACGCCGATTGCCACGTGCACGACAGCGGCGGCGGTGGTGGTGGTGGAGGCGGGGAGCGGTGGTGTAGCGGTTAGCGCTACGCTGCGCTACGAACCCGCGAGAGCCGGATTCGATTCCCCGCTCACGGCCACCAACACCACCGGTGACGATTATTTGAACCCGTCCCGGGCCTCTCCTAGGTCGACTCAGCCTCAAATGAGTACCTGGTGCGGTGTGTAAACATCGGCACTAGGGAGACAAAGGCGGCCGGGCGTGGTGTTGGCCACCCAGCCCTCGTGCGCCGGGACGGCCTTCATAGGTGCTCGCTAACAGCACTTGCCCCAATAGTCTGTTCGAGGCTATACGGGGGATCTGCGTTTTTTATTGACCCATATCAAATCCGATTGAACATACAGTACTTATTTGTGAATCGACCGTGCAGTCGAATACGTGCACATACCCCAGCATATTTACATATAGCACCATATAATATGCAATTCAGTAAACTTAACACATTCGTCAATAAATACTGTGGCCTTAAAAGGACGACATTAATAAATAATATGCGACGTTTCGGGCAGTGACCCTCAATCATAGCATATATATTATCAAAAGCATTTTTATTTTATTTATTAAACGTTAATATATTTCTTTTACCCCACAGCGATGATATTAAAACGATCTTAACAATGAAAATATATGGGTCTTTCCGTGTAACATTAACATATATATTACAATCCTTATTTAAACTTGAGGAATCCGATGAGCTCTAACCTTCTTTTTGCGCACATGTTCAGTACAGGCACGTGGGTGCGTGGGTGATGGTTAGCGCGCTCGCATCGCAGTCTACAACAAGAACAGAGTTCGAATCCCGGACCCGGGGGGTCAGAGATTGTTTCCTCTCTCTAGGATTGCGGTAGAATGGTTGAGACGCAAGTCTGAGCACCCGTCACAATGAATATCAAAATACACCGACAGTGTGCTGCTGTGTTATTTTGAAAATACTTTTGGAGATGTATATACACACAATAAATGTGTGTGTATATACATATAAATTGATCAATTAACATTTAATAATGATAGTATTTTTCTTTACGTATATACCTACACGGTTAGCTGGTGGTTAATTAATTTAAAAAAAAACGTTGTCATGACTCCGAGTTTGGATTTCACGAGCGAGTTTACGTACAGAGAATGAGTGCGCAGCGTCACGAAATGTGTAAGTAAATCATAAGTATATGCGCGTGTGTGTGTGTGCCCTGAAAACACTGACAGATGTCACGCGTGCATGTGAACGACACAATTGACGCAAGCTGTATACGTGTGTGTGTGTTTGTGTATATTCGTATGCAGCATATACTGCGGCGGTTAAAATCGGGTTTTCCTTATTGCTGCAATACCGGCAACCGTACGGAATGTAACCGATATTTTTTTTTTTACATCTGTTCCCGGGAAATGATGCATATACAGAGCGTTAAACAAAGGCGACTGTCGGAGTGATTGTGCGAATCGGCTGCACTCCGGCAGTTAAAAACAAGTGTAAGTTTCTTAAATCACGCTCACCCCCCTCCCCGACTTCCGTAGCCATCCACACCAGCAGCTGTATGAAATGGGTTTGCGCCCACACAGTTAGTGGTGAGGTGTGGTGAGGGTTCTTGTGGCTACAGCACCCACCCCCCCCTCCGCCTCTGCCGATGACAATTTGCGCTGGATACGATGGCCGGCTGGTTCCTAGTTCTGTGAAGCGACGCGGTTTGTAGATATTTATTTATTTTTACAACGGTCAACGCTTGGCAAGGATACAATCGCAATAATTGCGCAATGTGCGTTTGCGTATTAGTGTTATTACATACATAACAAAGAAAAAAAATATTCCCCCGTAAAGTTGTGAGCGGACTATTGGGGCAGATTTGCTGCTGGCGAGCAGCGCCTATGAAGGCCGGCACGGCACACGACGGGGGTGGGTGGTCAGCACCACGCCCGGCCGCATTTGTATCCCGAGTGGTGACGTTTACACATTTGAGGCCGAGTCGACCTAGGGGAGGCCCAGGTACCGGTTCAGATAATCGTCACCGGTGTTGGCCGCGAGCGGGAATCGAACTCGGGTTGTCGAGTTCGTAGCGCGGCGCGCTGAGCGCTACACGGCCGCTAAATACAGGCTACGCACGCGCATAATAAATACGCGTGGACATATTTTGTGTTATTACATGAAATGAACAAAACATCTATACACATAAATAATATTCACGTACATATTTGTGCCATTACGTGTATACGATCGCACGTACGCATACATTGCACGCGTGAATACAATGGGTATTTACGTGTATACGAACAGGCATGCCATGCACACTCGCACGCATACACTGAAGTAAGTGCATACATTTTCTTTATAATATACACCAACATTCGCGGCAGTTGAACGCGTACGCAAATACAAAACAATATGTGCGCGGATACATACATGTAAAATACAAGGATCCCCCGTATAGCCTTAACAGACTGTTGGGGCAAGTGCTGTTAGCGAGCACCTATGAGTGGGATTACTAACTCGGGACGCCAGGTTCGTAGCGCAGCGCGCTCACCGCTACACTACCGCTCACCACCGGTACATACATGTAACACACACACACACGCCTACATATGAACAGACATCGCATGGCACGGCTTAGCCGGGTGTGAATATCTGTGCATACATTTACTGTTGGCAAATCCGACTGCGGTCGCGAGGCATGCAAATACACACGGAATAAAAACAAAGATCAGACTGTTGGGGCAAGTGGTGTTAGCGAGCACCCTGTGCGCGCGCACACAACGCAACGATCGCGCCGTTGAACCTTACGGAATGCGCGTGGAGTTAGCGAGCACCTATTAAGGGCGCTGGCGGAGCACACAAAGGCAACACGCACGTACATGAAAATACACGCACAAATATACACACACGCATACATGCATACACAAGACAAAGGTCCCCCGTATAAGCCTTTAACAGACTGTTGGGGCAAGTACTCTGTTAGCGAGCACAAGCTAAGCGGGACTTGAGCCTATAGGTGCTCACCTTATACGTGACCGGGAATCGAACTCGGGTCGCCGGGGTGCGTAGCACAGCGCGCTAACCACTGCGCCACTTCTCCCCCCCCCCCCCCGAAAGAAAACCCTACACGGTATAGACAAAGACACACACACAATACACTACACTCACTCCTCACCTGGAGGGCAATGTATCCGATTTGAATAGAAGGCTGAGAGTCTTCTCATCCATCCGCGTCAAAGTGCGCGGACCCACCACTCTCCACCCGGCAGCGGAGCCGCCTCGCGCGGGAGGGGGGGGGGGGAGACGCGGCGGTAAGGGGAGGTGGGGAGGTTGGGAGGTAGGGAGACGACAACGTCCCGCGTCAGGGAGCGAGTCACGGGAAGGGAGCGAGGGGAGACGCGGGAGCGGAGAGAGAGAGAGTGTGCGGCACGACCACCGCCAACACCATATGTCACCGGCAACCCGTCCACGCCTGGCTCCACATCTCAATATCGGTTACGATTTTGACCCGAACAAGCCCCGTTCGTTTGGTCAAGCACCAGGTTATGCGTCGCTAACAGTGGAGGATTATGCTGTCGGCTGCTTGTTATTGCGAATGATAGTTAATGTTGGCGGTTGCGGCGGTGAGTGTCGTCGTCGTTGTTGTTGTGAGCGACTCGATGCTCGCAGGACCGAGACTCGCGCGTCCCGGGCGCGCGCAGCCGCTAATGATGAGCGCGCGGGTCGCGCGCGCTTGCGCCTTCTCCATGGGGGGTGGGGGCTACGGGGGAACCCCCCCCCCCCTGCACCCCCCCGCACCCCCCCCCCCCATACCACCATCCCCCCCCTCCTCCTCCACCCACCACCCTTACAAGGCCCACCACAGCCGGCCAAGCCGCGACATAATCACGGGGATATATTGGCGCTCCTCCCCCCGCCGCCTCCAAATCCACCCCTCCCCACCCGGCCCACGCGACGTAAGCGAATGGACGCGCTCCGCTGCGGAGGACGACGACGACGACGACGGAGAGGGAGGAGGGAGACTCTTCACTCCACCCGCCGCCGCGTGTGACCCAGCAAGCATCCTGGGTGGAGGCGGGCGACGCGCGGAGACAAAGGGAGGCGAGCGAGCCGAGCGGGAGGAGAGCCGCTGTAGAGTCGGGCCTCCTCCCGAGCACGGGCGGTGGTGGCCTCCAGCATCGCCAGCGAGCAGGGGGTCGGGCGGGGTGGTGAAATGGCTCCTCTTTTGATTGCCAATTCAGTGGTTTCGCTCGCTCTCGTATTCACTGCGTCGTTCTCACAAACGGTGGAGCGGGGGCCCTGCGCGAATTCTCCGTTGCTCTTGAGTGGCACGCATTTGTTAAATGAGAAGTTGAATTGTGGTGGGGGTTTTTTTATATATATACTGCTTCGATATTGGCAAAACTCCTTGACCTTGGGTACGCAAGCGCTTGTGGATGGAGCGGTGGTGCAGCGTTTGCGCATTCACGGCTAACATCAGTGGCACGTGATACCAGGAACCGATTTTTGTACTTTTCACGTCCTTGCAGCAACTCGTACTGACCAACGTGGGGAAGTATGGTCAACCCCAAAGAGAGATCCCCCGTATATCTGCACTTGACTGTTGGGGCAAGTGCTGTTAGCGAGCACCTATGAAATCCGACACGGCACACGAGGGAGTGTGTTGCCAATATCGCTCACGGACGCCTTTGTCTCCCCAGTGGCGATGTTTACATCGCAAGGAAGAAGTACTTACTTCAGGCTGAGCCGACCTAGGGCAGGCCCAGAACTGGTTCAGATCATCGTCATTGGTGTTGGCCGGGAGTGGGAATCGAATCTGGCTCGCCCCCCCCCCCCCCCCCCCGGTCCTCGATACTTGACCCAAACATAAAATATCAAAGTGGCAACCAGGCGATTTGGAGCAGTCATTAAGATGCGGCAATTCACAGCGAATGGATTCTCTTTTGAGCGTGTGTTCAAACGGATCTCAAAAATAACAAACAGACAGACGGTAAACACTTCACAATACCATTTCGCCCCACGTTTCACCACGCGCACGATCGACGCCCACGCATTGCACAATCGGTAGTTCCTTACAGAGACCCCGATGTCGCGGCGTCGGCTCTTAACGGAGGTGATGCGCTCGCCAGACGTTAATGAGCCGATTCGTTCGCAGGCTCGCCGCACTAGGGGGCGCCAGGACATCTGCGGACTCCCTGTACGCCCCACGTTGTCCGGAGTTGGTGAACCCCCATTGCATTGCTCAAGCCCAGGGATCGGCAACCTTTCAAAGAACACGAAGAAGAGCCGTTTGTTGTTGTTGTTGCTGTTGTTGTTGTCTTTGACAAAAAAAATAGTTCAGAGAGCCGCATGAGACGCAGAGTTGCTTGTACGCAAACACGACAGCAGGCATACAGCAGATGAAATAAATTCTGACTTAAACAAAATTGGTCATGGAATAAACTGCGTCTATTTAGTCCCTCCCCCCCCCCCCCCCCCCCCCCACGATAATTTGACTGTTGGACATTTTGTTACCGCCAAGACATTCCGCAGTGACCCATTCCCTGTCATATTTAATCAATAATGCTCAGATTAAATTGACGTTGTAAGATTATTATTATTATTTTTTAAACGGTCTGCCCGCAAAAACGGGGCAGCCAAAGAGCCCGCAGGTCGCCTATCCCTGCTCATAGACGAACATTTTGTGTTCACCGACCGTCCGAGTTCATCACAGGGTGACAACTGCGCGTCTCCACGCCGAAACTTCAGCGAGCACCTATTAAGGTGGGCACGTCACTCGCCAGGAAGGTGTTCCCGCAACGGTGGATTCTCCCCAGCCGTCTTTGTCTCGCACATTGTTACAATGATAACGATTTCGATTTAAAGCTTTCGTGACTGCAGGGATTCATATTCTTGGTTCGTTCGGTAAAGTCACACGTAGAAGGGAAACAATATACAAAAAAACACAGCACACCTGATGATTGCTTGTGTTGCAGTCGAAACGTCGTGATAATTTTATTGTTTTATATTTTTATTATGTTATTGTTTCCCTTCTACGTGACTTTACCGAAAGAACCAAGAATAATAAGAACGATGTTTCATTTTATCCACGAAAGCCACACAGATGGTGTGAAACTCCCTCCACCGCGGGCGTCGAAAAGGTGCCATACCCTGGCTCTCCAGGAGAAGGCAGGACAGCAAGTGGGCTAATGCCCAACTGCTTCCATCTGTACGGGGGATAGAGCGTTGCCCCCTCGCGCAAGGCGTGGGGTTTCTCCGGGTGCCCCGGTTTCCTCCAACACGTGAATAACAACAATAATAAACACGACTCAACATGAATCGGCTGTGAAGATCTTACACGCAAATTAATAAACAATGTATCAATTCCCTCCTAGAAAAGAAACATTGAACTCATCGTGTTGATGTTTACAAGTGGCTTTCTGCAGTCACCCGCACTACGCCCGACCTCACGTGTTATTACAAGCTAAGCGGGACTTGAGCCTGCAGAGTGCTCGGATGGGCGACCACTGCGCATACGAAAGCTGCTATCTGAACTGCGTTGTCAGCAGAGGGCAGCGCAGCAATGCCCACTGTTGTACTGTACTATGCTGACTGTCTATGATCGCCGCGCACACAAAACCGCCCCGGCCAGCGACGGTGAAACAATCCACGAAACCGCGCGGCGTGGGGAGGGCCCTCATCCAGCAGTGGATCGGTGAAGGGGGGGGGGGGGTCGTCCGTGTAGATGCACGTGAACAACGCCGTCAGGCACGAATTAAAGTCCGAGTCGACCTAGGGGAAGGGATGTCCGAGGCGAGTCGTGCCGTATGCATGGCCAATGAACGGAACCTCGCCGCTGGTTGGGCGGGTTCGTCGCGCCGCGGTGTCGCTCACCGCTGCGCCACCGCTCCTCGTCGGCGCTCGCTTCGGAGTCGAGAGGGAGCGCGGCGCGCGCCCTCTCCCGCGACACGCGCCAGCTGCCGCCTCCACCCAGCTCCCTGCGGCATCGTGCCTACTCACCCGCCCTCACCGCTAACCCGCTCTCTCCGCACTCTCTCCCTCCCTCTCTCTCTTCACTTGCCACCACCCCCACCTTAACGCTGTCCCTTTACTTCTGCGGTCGACTCTCTGTGTCACTTTCCGCCCCTCCACCTCCAGCCCCCTCTCTCCGTTCGCTGGCCTCAAGGGGCCTTCACCTGGTTCTCAACAAAGCTCGGCTGCTGTGTCGAGGGCTGCGGCATAGGTCAAGGTCGGAGTCAACAGTTGACCCATGGCCGTGCGAGTGAAGTGGAATGCAACCCCCTTCGGCGGTCACTAACGCAAACTCCACTTCGTTGTGGCGAATGCCATTCACATCCAGAGGACGATCGCCGTCCAGTAAGTCACAAAAGGTGGTGGGGGTTTGCGCATTATCTGAAACACGGTGGATTGTTTGTATATTTCAGCGGCCACGGAGCCGGTGGTGGAAATTCCACGTTGCTCTGGCGGGCGCGCCTGTGACTACACAGGACTATCCCGAGGATGAGTTCGCACAAAGACAATAGAAGTGGTATTTATTTTGACGATCCCCCGGCGCTGATGTTTACACACCAAATTACAAAGATCCCCCGTGTAGCCTTCAGCAGACTGCAAGGGCAAGTGCTTGTTAGCCAGCTTACTCTGAAGGCCGCTACGGCACACGAGGGTTGGTGGGGGAGGGGGTCAGCACCACGCGCGGCCGCCATTGATGTTGACACACTGCACCAGGTATGTACTCATTTAAGGCTGAGCCTACCTAGAGGAGGCCCAGGACTGGATCAAATATTCGCCACTGTTCATGATTGGTCCTGGGAATCGAACTCCGTTCGTAGGGTTCGCTAGTCCGGTGCGCTAACCACTGCACTACTCGTGACGTCACCACGGCGCTCGTGCCATGCTAGGTGCACTTTGAGGCAGCGTGAAGTGTCGAAGGCTCGTTGACAGGAGGCCATGGGCTGACTGACTGAGATGACTGGCAGGTCCACCACCTGTGCCCCCCTACTGTGCCAACTTGCTGTGCTTTATCCGCCCGGCGCTCCGCTCGTTGACGTGAGCGTCGCTCCTCTGCCCTCCGTTGTTGTTGTTGGAGGGCGACTGCCTCCAACTACCCAGTAGCAGCAGCGTCCTTCACGAGCAACAACAAAGACAGAGATACCCCGTATAGTCTTAATTACACTGTTGGGGAAAGTGCTGTTAGAGAGCACCTATGCAGGCCGACACGGCACAGGAGGGAGTGGGTGGACAGCACCACGCACGGACGCCTTTTTACCTCCCTAGCGGCAGATGGTTGCACACCGCACCAGGTACTCATTTGGCCGTGAGCGGAAATCGAACTCGGGTAACCTTGCTCGCAGCGCATCGCGCTAACCTGCTACACTACCGCCCCCCCCCCCCCCCCCACACAACAACAAGCCCACAGACAAACACGCACACATCGCTGCACCGGAACCGATTACTTCTGCGGTGGTGGCGATGCACGCCCGTGATCCAGCGCTTCGGAGTGATGGAGTTGGTGGGCCACGCAGAGATTTGCGAAACTCGTAAACCTCTGAGCGTCATCCTCCCTCGCTCGCTGTCGGTTTGCCTCGGGGGCTCTCCCGTTGACTCGCGAATATAAATTAACCACCTCCTTCCGTCAGGGGAATCGCTCAAATGTCTCAATGTAGGACCCTGTTGAACAACAGTCTTGAGACTCAGCGAGGTTCTGCTGATGGACTCTGAGTCCCTTATTGGCTCGAAGGGGGGAGGGG